GGAAAAGGGGAGGATTGGGGAGAGCTTGGGGGAATGGGATGGTTGAGATGGAGGAAGGGTGGATATGGGAGCAGGGAAGAAGATATCTTAATAAGGGAGCCATTTTAGGGTTGGCAAGAGACTTGACTCTATAGGGGTTCCCAGGTGTCCAAGGGGATTTACCCAGCTAGATCCTTGGGCAGCAGAGGAGAGGGAGCCTGAACGGGCCTTCTCCCATACCCACACTGATGAATATCTTACATATCACCATAGAACCTTCATCTGGCGATAGATGGAGATAGAGACAGAGACCCACATTGGAGCACTGGACTGAGCTTCCAAGGTCCAGATGAAGAACAGAAGGAGAGAGAACATGAGCAAGGAAGTCAGGACCGCAAGGGGTGCGTCCACCCACTGAGATGGTGTGACTGATCTAATGGGAGCTCACCAAGGCCAGCTGGACTGGGACTGAACGAGCACGTGATCAAACCAGACTCTGAATGTGGCTGACAATGAGGGAGGACTGAGAAGCCAATGATAATGGCACTGGGTTTTGATTCTACTGCATGTACTGGCCTTTTGGGAGGCTAGTGTGTTTGGATGCTCACCTTCCTAGACCTGGATGGAGGGTGGGTGGTCTTGGGCTTCCCACAGGGCAGGGCACCCTTACTTCTCTTAGGACTGGAGGGCAAGGGGGAGGGGGGAAGTGGGGGAAGTAGGAGGGAAATGGGAGGATGGGAGGAGGTGGAAATTTTTAATGAATAAATTAATTAATTTAAGCATTACTATTAAAATTATATCAATAAATCACTAAAAGAAAAAATAATATGGCCATGCTAAGATATTGGAGAAAGAACAAATTTGTTTTCCTCAATGGCAGTTGTTGGGCCCATCACTGATGCCTATTTTTCTTGAGTGAAGGAGTGTCTGTCATGCAGACCCTCTTGGACAGCTGGCTGGACTCTCCACAAGGTGCCTCGCTGCTCTGAAAACTTTATTAACACCCGGAGGAAGTTACACTGCAATCAAAGCTACTTCCTGAATGTGGTTCTGACTCCAGAGGGAACTACACCAGCTACAACTGCCCCAATCAGTTTGTACCAGGTATTTCCCCATCATGGACTATTGACAAAGGCTTAAAGATCCCAACATTTTATCATAGGTCCAAAAGCTGCAACTACAGCCTCTGTAGTACCTGAGGGTCCCAAAGCCCAGCCTGGGGCTGGAATATCAGCATGTGTCTCTGCTGAGATGCTGGAATCCCTGCTGGGGTTATAAGAGTTGCTCCTGCAGGGCTGCTAATAGTTAAAATGCAGAGCAACAAGCCTCCAACACAAGGAGGCTCCGATACAACCTACAGCCCTGAATCTCTAGGTTGAAACTAACAGCAGTGGGCCCTTATCTACCAGAGCTTACAGGGAAGCCTCTGGGGCTGTTCCTCAGCATGCAGGGAACAGGGAACACCAGAGGCACTTGTCCGCACCTACTTTTTAGCTTCTACCCAGATAGAGCAAATGAATCCTAGATAACTGATAGGTAAAACACAGATAGATGCACATGTGCACATGCATACACACACAGAGATATACACCATAGACACACAACATATACTATAGCCATTACCACCACCTCCATCACAACCACCACCTCCATCACAACCACCACCTCCATCACCACCCTTAACAACTGTCACCACCTCATTACCACCTCTATCACCACCACCACCTCCATCACCACCACAACCTCCATCACCACCTCCATCACAACCACCACCTCCATCACCACCCTTACAACTGTCACCACCTCATTACCACCTCCACCATCATGGAGGCATCAACCACTATCACCACCACCACCTCATCAACACCACCACCACCACCTCCATCAACCACCATCACCACCACCACTACTAGTAGCATCCCCTCAACACTAACACCACAACACCTACACCATCGCTATTAGCACCACCACGCTTTATTTACCCTTCCATCTGCCGATGGTCATTCAGTTAGTTCCACGTCCTGAGTATTGTAACTAGAGCCACAAAGAGCATGGTGGGAGGGGGTGTCTTTCTCACCTATCGACTTCCTTCCCTTTGGATAAAGACCCAGAAGTGAGATTGTGGGGTTGTGTGGTCTTTCTATTTACAGAGTTGGAAGTCCTCTCATGCTGTCTTCCACACGGACCCTACTGTTCACATGTTTTCACAGTGCACATGGGTCCCCTTCCATGCGTGTCCTCACAGCGCTCATGCCTCATCTTTGTGATGACAGCAGATCCGACTGCTGCAAGGCGACATCTGGCTGTGGTTCTCATCAGCATCAGCGTTCCCCAGTGATGAATGTATCTACATGAGTGCTGGTGGCTTGCATGTTTGTCCTGGAAACCTGCTGTGGATCGAGATTCCAAGACCAAAGAGAGGCCTGTCTGCCCTTTGCTTTATTTAGTGTGTTCTTGATGTCTTTCAGCTCCATAAACTTGAGTCTTTCTATGCACAGTCTCATTCAGTATAGTTCTTGGAAGCAAGAAGAATTAAGGGTCAAGTGAGATGATTATCAATATTAAGATGACCTTAAAAGTCAGCCTCTTCAGTTCTCCCATGAGATTTTAAGTGAGCAGGCTGCAAATAAGAAATAATTGCCCATGGTCACAGGAAAGTTGATAGTAAAATTAAAAAAAAATGTACTATTGACTGTTGATGTCCTGTCCCTGTCTCCTATGTCCTTGATAATTAGTCTGATAGAAATTTTGAATTTTAGTTCAGACCCCAAAACAACACTGAGCAGACTGCATGTACGCAGACACCAGGATGACTTACAGGGACACTGGAGTGTGAGCACTCTTTCAAGCCAAATAAAGGAACAGAGGTAACTGATATATGGGGGTGGGGAACAGATAGACAGAGACAGAGAGAATTAACATGTACGTGTATCTTTGTTTATGCATATATGTGTGTCCATATGTACACACACGTATGCTTGTATTTGTATATGCTTAAATAGGTGGGATAGGCATGTATGAGCATGTATATGCAAGAGTAGGCACATGTGTAATTCATGCATTCACACGTGTGTGAGCATCAGAGTGCATGTACATTGGTGTACACATATGTGTGTGTGCATATGAAAGTGGCTCACCAATGGAGGGGTCTCAGTGAGGTTTCTATCTGGAAAGATGGAGTAGGGCAGACAGTTTCTAACGTCTCCTCCCTGAGAAGCTACACTTCTGAACACTATCTATCAGAGGGGATAAGCATTTGCAGTGAATTCTGGGGGACAAAATATGACCTTTCCAGAAACAATCATGGACGCTTGCATTGTTTTAAAGCAATCCTGAACTCAAAGAAAACGAAAAGACCAGTTCTGTTTTCACTTCTTATTAGGCACACTGTGCTTTGCTTCTTTTCGCTACTGAAGATACAGCCTCAACAGAACCTGTAAGGAGATGCGGGGCGGGCAGCAGGGGGTCTATAAGTCTAGAAGCAGTGAGGCAGATTTCTACAGGCACTCGACTGCTGGAGGGCGACGCCAAAGTCAGCAGTTCCCCTCCTGCTCATCCTTCAGTATTTCACCTTCCCGAGGAGAATGTCAACTCAGGAAACAGAGCCCTGTGTTCTCGCTAGGTAAAAAGCCAACCCACATGGTTTGTGTCCTGGACTGCTCACAGTCCTCCCACGGAAGCACAGGCTTCATTCACGCAGCCCTTGCTACCTGATCACGCTCACTGCATGCAGTAAATAACCTGTATAGGGTTGCATCTAAATTGTAACAGTTACTTTTCTGAAGCACTCTTTTCGGGGTTATTATAGGAACAGTTGTCTGGAAATAAATGGGAGTAAGAAAAACAGACCTCTCCCAAGAAAAGAAAATACACAGAAACAAAAAAACACAGCAATGAAGTATTGTATTAAATGTCTTATGGGTGCATGTTCTTTGCCCTACTTTCTGACAATTAAATTAGATTTAACTGAAACATCAGTGTCTCAGAGAGAAACATCTTCCTCTCAGCCCAAAACTAGACACTGAGCACAGGTAGAGGTCAGTGACCATCTCACAGTGCGAACCCCAAGCTGGGATGAAAGAAGGCTACATGCAAGGACTCATGCCTCAAATAACAGCTGTCTCCACTGCTCCAGGGGCCCCTGACTCCCACAGGCAAGCACTGAGCATGGCCAGGGAAAGGAAATCCTCTGGGGAGAACACAAATGATAAGGCTAGAAACAAGGGTGTTTTCTTGGATGAGCCCCTTGGGATTCTGGGAAACAGTGACCACAAGTCAGTGGGCCTACTAGGCATTGTGTAATGTCCTTAAGAAAAAAAAAAGTCTCTTCAGCCTAGGACCGGCTCAAGGAGACCTGTCAGAGAAACCTCTCTGGACTTTGCTCTCCAGCTCAGGTTGCATGGAAGAAATGAACTTGGCAACTCCCTTCCAGGCTGCCTGAAGGGGTGGCCAAGAGTGCCTGAACAGAGCAAATGGAAGTCTGTGCTCTCCCGGAGCTGGTCTGAAGGGGACAGAGTGGGCATTCTCGCAGCTGAGCTGAGCTGGTGTTTGGAAAAGCCCTCTTGGACGGCAGCTCTAAATCATCAGGTAGCCTCTGTTTACATGTCCGCTGTAGCCAAGGTGCAGAGCCTGACTCCTCAGACAGCTTCCAACACAGCTGCATTTCTGGAGGTAGGAAAATAAAAAAGGAAAGGAAAGGAAGATAAAAGACTTCAAAAGCTGAGCCAGGGTCCCCAAAAGAAGGGCGCTCGAGACTTCTGTGAGGAGTGGCCCAACCAAGTGCTGCGACATCTGTGGAGGCATGTCCATCCTTGGGGAGCAGAGCCGGCACAGAGCTGGCACTAGGCAGCCTTTCCCTTTCCCTCCCTCCCGCTTCTGCAGGCAGAAATTGGAATCTAGGGGAGGTCCAATCAGGAGACAGGAATGCATCCTCCCTTTCCCCTCCCCTGGCCTCCAAGCGCTTCCTGAGACAGGAAACTTTAAATTGCTGGGATGGGCCACCCTAATTGCTACTCTTTTAATAACTTGGTTCACTCCTTGAAGCCTCCGTAAACATTCTCGAAGCAGCGGAATCTGAGCAAGGAGGAAACACTGTGCTTCTTGCACAGCCTCTCTTAGGGAGTGAAACGACTTCCCAGGAACCAGACAATGCGTCAGTCAGCAAGGTTCTGGGCTCTTCTCCACAGACCAAAAAGATTCCTATAACTAATTTCCCTAGTGTCTGCTCATTATCCCCACCCCTCCCGAAATCGCTCCCTGCCATGTCCTATTCTCCAGCCACAATTATTCCTATGTTGTCTGTAGGTGTTGTCTGTCTATTTACACTAGCCTGAAGCTTCAGATCCAGCCCAGCATTCCACATTTCCTTAACATGATCCTAGAAAGGATGTAGAGAATGAACAAATTTCCTGGATAAGGATAGTGGCAATGCCTAGAGAGGTTTAAAAAAATTCTCTGAACACCTAAGCAGCATGCTATGAGAGCAGAGACCCTACATGGGCCTCATCTTTTCTTTTTGAGGACTCCTCCTTGCTTCCCTGCTTTAGGACCAAGCACTGTCAGAACCAGCTTTTGTGCGGAGGCTCTGGAAAGATAGAAAATGTCGTGAGTGTCTCTATGGAGAGGAAGCCAATGAAGTCAGGGTCAAAGTGAAATGCACACAAGTTCGTCTGGCCCCATCTCAGTCAGCAGGTCAGTCCTTTTCTTTAAAGGTGTTTTGGGAATCTGAATTTCATTTTATGGTGGTTTGTTGTATCCAGAGGATGTTAGAAACTCAGCTATTTCGTGCATGGGTAGGTGGAAGGGTTTAAAAAGTGTTTGTTTCCAGGTGACAGAAATATGACACTGAGTTTCTTTTGTCATGAAGGAAAAAACATATGGTTGAACTTGTTGGTTGGCACCTTTCCTAGGGAGATATGAACCAACATTTAATTATTGTTAGACAGGAAACAAAGAACAGATCAAACATGGATGCCACCAAAGTTCAACTTGGTAAACTTGGTAAACCAATGGATTTTATTGGGGTCACACGCAAGAGTAGAAGTGACTCAAAGCTGGCCGCATCACCAAAGCCCACCCAATCATGGGTGGTCACTCCCTAAAGCTGGGAGCCTGGAGCTCACAGAACAGCCTGAGACAGTTCTACAGGTTGGAGAACTGGAGGAAGCCCCAGCTGGTGAATTCTTCAGCAAATGTGTATTTTGACGTAAAAAGTACCTATCAAGGACCCGGACCAACTGGCCCATGAGAAGCAGGCAAAGCCATGTGATGGGCAAAGATTCGCCCAAGAGTCCAAGTCAGGGTTTACGGGCAATTGCTCAGTGTGTGCAAAGACAACCAACTGCAGTGTTCTTCCCCTCCACACCATTTTTACACCGGAGGCGACTGCTCACCTACAGAGAGGCTATTGCTCACCTACAGAGATCTCTTTTGAGTCCTCCCTCTGTGCTGTACCTAAGAAACATGCCAAGGTTCCAGGTTGCAGAAGTTAAGAGAATCCAAGCTTATGCCAGCTCCATGGTAGGTGTGTCTGTGTGTAAGTCCTTCCTTTCTTCCCTCACCTCCCCTAGCCATGATTTGGGGACCCGAGCCATAGAGTGTCCTTTCCAGATAGCTTTGTAGGTCTGAGCTTCTTCCAGACACTTAGCTAGTATTTCTGTTTCTCTTAGGCTACTCCATTTTCCTGAGCCTCTTCTTGGCAGCTCAGCTGGTCTGAGAAGCTTTACTTCCTTATATATACAGGGGGGATGCAGAGGTCTTACGAATAGGGTCACTTCAAGGATCAACTTAAAGGAATGTCTCATTGAAGTCATGTGTTCTGAGGCAAGAGACTTATTATGAGCTGAGTGAATGGTTACTGTGTCAATAGAAAAATGTTTAAGTCTGAGACTTTTGGCCTAGGATGTTCAGTGGCCTTACAGGCATGAAGCACTAAAAATTGGTATAAAGGGAAGAGTAGAGAAAGAAAATCAGGAGAACATGCTCAGAGCATTCATAGGGGAAATTCAAGGTACCGAAAAAAAAATTGGTTTAGACAGATGTCAGTACTAAGTGGGAGGGTACTAGTACAGCTAAAGGCTAGCCCACTGCAAGGGGCTTGAAGTAGTCAAACAGTAAATGCAACTTTGGACTTGGCAGGCAGCCAAGCTTAAATGTGAATTCTTCCTAGATTTGTGATCTAGGCAAATTACCTGAACTATTTGAGGTGTGTGTGTGTGTGTGTGTGTGTGTGTGTGTGTATGTGTACAGGAACTGAACTCAGGTTACTAGGCTTGAAAGAATATATATACACACAACATACACACACACACATATATACATATATATATATAGATATGTATATGTCTGTATATGAGAGATAGGTTGAAGAAGAGAAAGAGAACAAGAAAGAAGAAATGTAAAGGATATAAAAGAGACATACAGAGAGAGAGAGAAGAAAGGAAGGTGGAAAGGAAAGGAAAAGAAAAGGAAAAAAAAGCATGGTGAGCCTGTGCTGGAACAGTGGATGCCTGCCTGGCACCAAGTCTTGGCCTGGCATGGGAATGACACAGAGAGAGTCAGCGAAATTCATTTGGCTCTCACATTTCCATCCACCTCAGCATAGGCTTTCTTAGATCTTTCTAGTCTGCCTCAGGCTTGGCATGGGAAGTCTTCAGTGACGAGGTAGGGATTGACAAAGTCTGTCCCATGATTCTTTCACTGATGAACACAAAATGAAGCCTAGTGAGCAGCTAGTGAGCCTCCCTCTACTGCCCAGGAGGTTAATGCAAGGGGGAAATGCCACTGGAAGAAAATTTCAGCTTCACTGCCTTAGCTGAGGAAGGGGAGAGATTGAGACTCTCTGTGACACCGAGGTCATTGTTGTCCACATTAAAACCTTGTCAGGCCTCTCATGGGGATGATGGAAGAATGGATGCTCTTTGCAAGGAAAAGCTGAAAAAAGGTCAAAAATAGGACTGTGAACAGGGTGGTCAACTGCCAGGAATCCCTTTTTAGGAATCCTCGTGTGTTGGAGAATTGTGCTGTGAGGACATAAAATCCAGCAGGCGTTTCTTCATGCCCTCAAAGTTTTGAGGCCTCCAAGCAGAAAGAGCTCGCTGATCCAAGTGAAGTAAGTTCTTGCTTTCTTCTGTACCTGAAAGACCTGATGATCCACGAGGATGAAAGAAAGCAGTAAGAAGGGATGAGACCAGAGGTCAGGCAGAAGGTGTTCTGATTTCCCTATGACTTCCTGCTTGCTTTGCTTTGGGGCAGTTGTTTCCGTCTCTGAACTTGACCTTCGAAACAAGTTCTCTAAACATGAATCCTTCAAAAACAAACAATGGAACACTATGAGAGTTTGCAAAAATCGTTTCCAATGTCTACTAAAATAAAGTGCTTAACACTGATTAAAAGTCAATCAGAAATTTTTTTCTAAGAAATTCATATTGACCCCTTTAAACTCCAAACAAGATTTGCCTGAAGCTGTGAACTCAAATTTAAACAGTTTCTGAGTATCATCATATGTTTTTCTGTCTTCTTTTTTAAATTATTTTTATAATTTTATTTATTTGTGTGTGTATTAATAACATTTATTGACTGATTGGTGAGAGATGTGTGGCCATGTCAGAGTACAGCTTGCAGGAGTGAGTTCTCTCTTTCTACCACAGGGGTCCCAGGACCTGAACACAGGTCACTGGTCTTGGTAGTAAATGATATGTACCCTTTATGATGCATGGCCATTCTAGACAGTAATAAATATTTACTAAGACTTTCTGTATAAGTATGAATGTTTCTGTATCTGTGTCGTGTGAGTTCATAATTGTTTAGCTGTGATTTTTTTAAGTTGTGATATTTTTATATTACACTAAAAATTTATTTAGCAGGAAGAAAGAGAACACTGTGTATTAATAGAGAGTGGAAGACAGAGTTGGAAATATTGACTTCTTGGCACCAGAAGTTTTAAGGGTTTGCTGGAAACCTCTGAGTTGATGACTATTCTCCTGAATTTTACTGTCCTCATCTGGGACAGTAAGAAAAAAGTCATTATTCAGGAATTTCTATAAGAGCTCTGTCTGCTAGTTTTTATCTCATTTTGTATAAGGAATTTTTTCCCCTCAGTGCAGCAAGCAAAACAGCCACACTGAGGAGGTGAGTCGCTGTCTCAAAAGAGCCTATGGTAGTCAAGGTGTTTACCGAGCAACTACTGTGGCCTTGGTGAGCACGGAAAGGGTCCAGGTCATTGGATCATTTAGTTATCTTGAAAGACATTTAAGGTTGTAGTGTACTAAGTAATTGTGTCTTTTTTCTATTTAATCTTCAGGCTGCAAGGTCCTCTTACACCAAACCACCACAAACACATTTTTTTTTAATTTTTATCAACACTGTATAGTTTGTCTATGAAGAATCAAAACCCTTCTCTCAAAAAGTGAGCTGGGGTGAACATTTGATCAGAGAATGATTATGACAACAAAACCAGGGGACAATAAAGATGGACTCTCAGAGACCTGCCAGCGTAAAGGGATAGAAAAGCAGAAAATAGAACCAAAGGAAGAAGGAGGAAGCAGGGCGGTTGGGGAGGGGGGTGTAGACAGAGCACAAGCTGAAAGGGACCTTGAGTATTTTCAAATTAAGCCTGTCTTTTTTTTCCCATAATAACAGTTACTTCATATCCTCCTAAAGTTGGCATGTTTCTCTTGGGAAGATAAATCCTTTCTGGCAAGCTGGCCGCATTCGCGCTGAAGCAGGAAGCCCCAGTCATCAGCCCATTACGCAATGCTGCGTCCGGCCAGTAATTGCCTATCTGACATGCTAGCCTCCCACATTCCTGAGATGCGTCCAGCAGAGGCAGAAGATGAGATTAGATTGCCTTTGCAGCTAGCCACCAGCGCTCTCGGTTGGTGCACCTCCCTCTCCCGTGTGCTGATTCAGGCAGTGGCTGGCTGCACGTGGACCATGGCAGGCTTGCTCTGTTTGTCTCTAGGTAGAAATTTCTCCCTTTAGAAAAAGGTGGTATTTCGTAGAGGATTGGTTTTATTTTAGGTGTGTGTGTGTGTGTGTGTGTGTGTGTGTGTGTGTGTGTGTGTGTGAAAAGAGTAAGAATTCAATGGGCCACAAGGCCACCAGGAAAAAGACCCCAGCTGAACGAATCATTATCCCTATCAGAAGCACAAAAATGGAGTTCTGCCCCAAATGATCAGTGTGGTTGGAGCTGTTTCTTTACTTTTTCTAAAGCTTGTGTGTACATTAGACAAAATAATAAGCACTCCATCGGTTAGTAAAAGGATGAGATCATGTGCATAAAAACCCTTGGACAGTGTCTGCCTGTCAATACGTGCTGTTTATGTTTCCTGGATATCTGTCAAGCATAGGTCAGGCCTTGCATTTCCAGGCCTTTGCTCCCAGGACCTTAGCAGAGGACTCTGCACCGAGCAGCCCCTGTGCAAGCAGCCCTTCCCAGCGAGTGGATTGCTTCTTTATCTCCAGCCCCACCAGAGGGTGCAAAGGCAGTCAGTGTGTTTGTGTTAAGTATCGATAGGAGGAAAGGCAAAAGGATGAGAGTGAAATACAAGGAAAGAAAAGAGAAGGCAATGAACCCAGGAAGGAGGAAAAAAAGGCAGGGGAGGGCAACAGAGATATGGAAGAAAGAGAGGAGACCGATGAAATACAGAGAGACGCAGGGCTGAAGAAATGGGCAAAGGAAGGAAAGAAGACATGGGAAGAAAAGGAGAAGGAAAGAGGAGGAAGTGGCTAGGGAGGAAAGGAGGAACAGAAAAAGGGGGAGGAAGAAAGGGAGGCTCTCAGACTTCAAAAGGCAGTCTAGCCAGAGGCAGAGAGGGGGAAGGATTCACTTTGTGTCCTGATATTCTCCTATATTTCTTTTCCCATTCTTCTAATCAGCTGAGGTTCTTCACAGCAGCATGTGCTTTACTTGCATGGTCTCCATCCTAAGTGGTTCTCCATCCCCACCCCTGTCTCTTCAAGTCATGGCATCCTTCAATGACACACATCTTCTTCCTAGGGGCATGTCCTGACACACTAGGCTATGCCATCACTAAGTTCAAGGATTCTCCTTTGCTTCCTGTTTGCCTCTTTCTGAATGCCCCTGCCTGAGATATTTCTGTGCGAGCCCCACAGCCAGAGCTCGTGCACATAAGCTCTCGGCACAGAAACTATGGACTTCAGACTATGGACCTTCATTAAGAGGCAAGGATTCCAGATGTTTGTCCAGAAGATATAAACATTTCTATCCATACAATCAAAGTTAACACCTGCAACAAGACCCAGCACTGAAAGATGATATGTCCTTCACAAAGAGGGAACATGTTAACCCCTGCCTGGGTTTTAAATTTGTTGATTAACTATACCCTCTTCATTCAGCTCCAGCCTCAGCAATTGCCATTTCTGCCATAGCCCTGTGTCTTAGTATCTAAGAATTGCTCTGTGGGGGCTGGAGAGATGGCTCAGTGGTTAAGAGCACCGCCTGCTCTTCCAAAGGTTCTGAATTCAATTCCCAGCAACCACATGGTGGCTCATAAACATCTGTAATAAGATCTGTGCCCTCTTCAGGCCTGCAGGCAGAGTACTGAGAACACTGTATACATAATAAATAAATAAATCTTAAAGAAAAATACTTGTTCATTTAAAAAAAATATATCTTACAGTTTTCAAAAAAATTGCTCTGTGTACTACAGATTGCAGGATAGAAAATGAAGAAATAGGTTTTATGTCCAGCCTGGAGAGTAACATCTAACATCACTGTGACTTTGGGGTTGTTATACCTTGGAAGGCCTGGAGAGAAGCTTTCTTTGATTCTTCTGGTGGTTTTCTGGAAATGTTGGCCCCCACTGGCTCTCTTTCTTGCCACTCTTCATTGGGCATGGTTTATCCGTGTGGCTTTTATTTTTATTTAAATAAGGACACCAGTCACATTCATTGTGGAATCCTTCCCACTGCAGAGTGACATCATGTGTACTAATTATACCTGCAGCAGCCCGACTTCCAAATAAGGTCACATTCTGTTGTGCCTTGGGCTGAAATCCCTGCTTAAAGACAGGCCAATTTGGTGGATTACACACTCCTTTGTACATATAACCCAAGAACATCAAGAGGTAGAGAAACAAGAAAGTCAAGAGGTGGAGAAACAAGCGTCTGAGAAGAGAAGGCGGTTAAATAAACTAGAAAGCCTGAAGTAACCGGGATGGCTCTTAGGGATCCTTTTGATTGGCACCCAGCTAAGTGGTGAGGCCAGCTGAGAGGAGGTAAAGGTTTTCATTGTCGGTTTGGTAGAATAGAGAATCATCTGTATTAGAGGGGCTTTTAGGCACGCCTGTAGGAGAGGATCTTGATTACATTAACTGTTGTGAGAAGAGCCATCTTACTGTGGGAAGGGCCATTGCCTGGGCTAGGAATTCTGTCATGGGGGAAAGGTGGCCTTTGCTCCAGCTTTCCTCACTCTCTGCTTTTGGATTACATAAGCAGCTGTTTTTAAGGTTGATTTCCCCCAGAATGGACTGTGCTTTTGAACCATGAGCTAAGATAAACACCTTCTCGCCTATGTTGGCTCTTATCAGGTGTTACGTCACAGTCACGGGAAGAGAGATTAAGATAGATCACACAGGACAGTCACTTAGGAAGATAATGCGCTGTTGAACAACACCATCTGACCACAGGAAATGAGGAAGAATAAGAGAAGTTCAAGACCTGTGAGCCTCAGAGAACAGGAGAAAGAATTGAGATGACTACCAAGTCTTCAAACCCTGAGGGAGGAACTTAAAAGATTATCTCATAGGCCTAATGAATGAATGAGAATTGAATAGACTCACCTCTCTTTTATAAAAGGAAAGGAAAAAAAAAACCTGTGTTAATTGCCCTGTCTTTACTCTCTCCCCTTTCTGAGTCCTGCAATTTGCAAATTAACTATTGGCCAATTCAGGCCATTGATGGGACAATAAGCCTGAAGGAGCTGGTCTCTGAACTTGAATTGTGAGTCATGATGATTAGGATGACTCACATGGGGATCCTTCAAAGACTTTCCCTTAGGACTCAATCCGAGAAGCTTGCTCCATTGTAACTTAATAATGAAAGGGGGCCCACGGCCTGGTAGGGCCACCGATAGAGAGGCTCTTGAAGGATGGATGTGGGTGAGAGGGCCTTGTGGCTGTCAGCTTCAGCTGGCTGTCAGTCACCACTTGATGAAGGGGTGGGGAAGGATTTTAGCTCCTGGTCTTGCAAACGTGTGTCTGTAACTACCATGTTGAAGGCCAAGACACCATGCCAAGGTCCAGCTACTCTGCTAACTCATTTGCTTTTAGAACCCAGGGACTTCATTTATGCCTAGAGTGAGACTCCGTGGACAAAGTGGGTGACTGGCAACAAGATTTTGAGAGCCTAGAAGATTGCATGAAAACAAAAGAAAACATTAATCTTTTCTCGAATGCAGTGGTTCTCAACATTCCTAATGCTGCGACCCTTTAATACTGTTCCTCATGTTGTAGTGACCCCCAACCATGAAATGATTTCACTGCTGTTTCATCACTGTATTTTTGCTGCTCTTGTCAACGGTAATGGTAATGTCTGATATGCAGAATATCTAAAATTCTACACATGTAAAAGAGTCGTCCAACCCTAAAGGGGTCACAACCCTCAGATTGAGAACCACTGCTCTAATGAGATCTACTGGGACAAGAGATTTGGCTTGGGGGGGGGCGGCATCTCTAAAAGAAAAGTGATTAACCTTCAAAAGAAAAAAAAGGTATAGCTAGGGCTGGAAAGATGGCTCAGCTACTTAAAGTGCTTGCCTTGCAAGCAAAAGGACCTGGATTCAACTCCCAGAACCCACATAACAAAAGCTGGTATGGGACTTTGAATGAGACATCACTCCCGTTGGCTCACAGGTTGAACATTTGGTCCCAATTTAGAAGTTTTGTCTGAGGGGGGTTTGCTGGAGGAAGTATATTATTAAGGGTGGACTGTGAGACTTTATAGTCTCTCTCTCTCTCTCTCTCTCTCTCTCTCTCTCTCTCTCTCTCTCTCTCTCTCTGATGTTATGATATCACAGCTTCCTGTTCTGGATGCCTGATGACATTCTGTCCTCATCACCATGGACACCCCTGCCCCCGGAATCATAAGCCCAATTAAATTCTGTGTCCACCAATTGTTTTTGGCCATAGTGTTTTTTTATGACTTCAGCAGAAATGTAAGTAGCACCGAAGTGCATCTCGGCACACACTTGCAATCTTAGTCATTTGGAGGTAGAAATCGAGGGATCCCTGTGGCTCAGGGACAAGATAGCCCAGCTTACTTGTGGAGTTCCAGGCTGGTGACAAAAACAGTCTAAAAAGAAATGGTAGGCGTCAACCTACAGAATGATAGCCAAGGTTGTTCTCTGATCGCCGCATGCATCTGCACACACACACACACACACACACACACACACACACACACACACACACTTAGTTTTCAAGAGCAGCTAAAATCCATATGAATGGAAACAGTAAGAAGGTCCTGGTTTTTATTGTCTTTGACATATTTCAGCAAGCAGAAGCAATACGCTCTGACCCTGGGAGGAGCTCACAGGGGGAGTCTGCTTCTCATCAGGCATTTTCAAGCAAAATATTGGGCAGCAAATATTGAAACTTTCCATACTTGCTTGTTTCAAATGCAGGGGTAGCCGAGGACTCACACCAAGTATTAGCCCTGGTGGCGTATTTTCCTACAGTGGCATGTAGTCAGAATCGCTGCAGTTCCTGGCCACAACTAAGCAAGAAAAACCTGAGTTCTACCAGACACTGAATGAACCTCCAGCATCTAAGTTCTCGGAACCTATCCTGCTTGAAGGGGCATCAGGTAGCCAAGGGGCGCTGTGTCCAACAGGGTGCCTGAGGATCCATGCCCACCTTCTTGCTGAAGCCCTGTGTGCTCCTGAGCTCCCAAGTGTAGCTACTTAGTGCACCTTTCAAAGAACCTTCAGATTCAGGACTCTTGGAACTGCTGGGCTGTAGTCAGACTGCGATTTCCTACCGTGACAGCTGGGCTGCAACTCTTCGGTAGATAATGATCATTGTTACTCCATGGTGTTGGACTCTCAAGGAGCTTTCCAACTTCAAAGTGCTTTATGCACATCAACTAATTAATCGGAGATACAAATGGTGCCAAGGCCCAGAGGGCTGCAACTGCTCAGATCAAGGACAGTCTCTGTTGATGGTGATTTCTAGCCGTGAACACAACACACTTCAGTTGGTGCGTGAAGGGTGGAGTATCAGCCAAGTATCATTGTCCCTGCTGTAGGCTCCTGCCCAGGAGCCAGGTCCAGTAAACCAGGCCTGCATAGGAGGCTACAAGAGGAAACCAGAAACTCCTATACAAGTGTGCAAAGCACTGGTGACCAAGAAACAAGCAAACACAGTCATTACCTTGCCATTAAAACAAACAAACAAACAAACAAAAAGAATCCTGTGTAATTCGCCAAAAGGGTCACAGTGAAACTAGCACTGTGTAAGTAAAGAAATGGGTTCAGGAGCAAACAGCCCAGTCAGACTTATGCAGAACTTAGAAGGGGGGGGGGGAGCATGTTTGTAGGAGGGGGCAGAATGTGTGCATGACTGCAGATATCCAAGAAGACCCGAGGATAGGGCTGGAGCCCTTGAATCTGCTTTTCCAGCCAGTTGAGACTCTCCCAACATGGATGGTGGGAATTTAACTCCAGTTCTCTGTCATAGCAGCAAGATCTCTTAACCGCTGCTTCGTACACAAAACCCCAAACTTCTATTACTTAATATTTTAAGAAGTATAATTGTGAAGAGAACAAACTGAAAGAATTGATTGATGGACCTAAAATGAAGAGCATGAAGTGGAAATACCTGTTCCCTGAGAAATTCAGGGGCAAGAGGTCAGTTTTCCTTTAAGGAGTTGGGGATTTAATTAGGGGGTCTCAAGTGTTCTATGCAGCTCTGGAGCCTCCAGTGTAATCTAGGATGATCCTCCTACCTCAGCCTCCTGAATACAGATTGCAAACCCATTCCACCACGCCCGGTGTATGTTACATTTGGCACTGAGACAGTCCCTTGTGCGTGCTAGGCAAACGCTTTATGAAGTGAGCCGCACTCCCAGCCCTGGAGGTGAAACTGCTTTTAAACTTTACTCGCTCACTTATTTTCATTATTTTATTGGGGTATAATTTGCACAAATGAACTGAATATGATTAACGTGCAATGGATTTGTGCACCACACTTCCATAAGCGTGTATCACAGTCAAGGTGACAAGCATAGCCATCACTTCTTCAAGTCTCTCTGTGTCGTGTTAGGATCCTTCTGGCTGACCCCTTTTAACTTTATTAGCCAGTGCCTGCTGATCTCTCTGGTACCATTTAGTTTACACTGTATACAGAAAATGACCTAAGTGGAATCACGCAGTGCATAATCTGAACTCCTTGATTTGGTGTGATTATTTTGAAATCCATCCACATATCCTGTTTCTTCCTGATAGTAGTATTTCCTGAGTTTGTGGATATACCATTACGTTTATTTATCTACCTAGGCAAGGTCACCTGGGTTATCTCCAGTTTTGTACTAATTCAAATATAATTGTGGTGAATAATACTGTAAATTATTTTATATGAAATATAATATATATTATATATAATATAATAATAAAATAAAATATAAAAAATAATATGTGTTTGCCCCTTTTTCGCTGTGTGGGAAAGGTTTTTAGTTGTTTAGAGATTTTGTGTTTATTAAAGTATTATTTTTAAGAATTTTAACTTTATTTTTATGTATGTATATGCACACATACATACATGGGTATGTGCATTTGTGTGTGCATATACATTTGTGTGTATGCATTTGTGTGTGTATGTGTGTGTGCATGTACATTTGTGTGTGTGCATGTACATTTGTGTGTGTGTGTGTGTGAGTGTGTGTGTGCAGCTGTGTGCACATACCAGATTCTAATGGAGTTTGAATTCTGGGCAGTCCCGAGGCATCACTGGTTGCTGAGAACAAAACAGGAGTTCTCTACAAGAGCAGCAAATGTCTTTAACTGCCTAGCCATCTCTCTAGCTCCAAAGATTTAATCACTCTGAATTTCTACACATGTATTTGTGGTCCTGGGAATTGAACCCAGAGTTTTGTCTATGCTAGACAGGTGCCTTACTGGTGATCTACACCCCTGGTCCTTGATTGGAGGATTTATTAGAGCACTACATTACATTACATTACATTATATTACATTACATTACATTACATTACATTACATTACATTACATTATTCAGCTATGTGAGTCACAGATAAGTTCTTCCAACCTGCAGTTTTATCACTTCATTATTTCAGTAGCATCTTTCTGAGAGCAGGTATTCAGTTTGCTGCTGTCCAAGGTTAGTTTGGACATTCTCTGGATTTTCATCAAAGACGTGTTTATCTGTTCTCAGATTACTCAGGCTTCATCTCTGGTTTCCTGCTAGAAGCATTGCAGTATGAGGCTTATTCTAGGTTTACAGTTGGCTTTGACTTGACTTTAGGCATCATGTCGGCCACTCACTCTTCTTATTTGTAAATATACAAAATTTCTACTTTGGTTGGTTGAGAAGACTTACCTTTTCCAGCCAGCTGCCTTTGCATTTTAGCAGAAACTAGTTGACTCTGTATTGATCTAGTTCTTAGACTTCACTGTGTTAACTTGAAATGTTAGTCTATCTTAGTACCGATGTATTATGACTCTCTTTGAGAAGCCTACACCCATGCTTGTTGGTATATCTCCATATGTTTTTGAGAATCATTCTCTTATTAACTTCACACTTAATCTCATATTATGATAACTGTAATATGTCCTGTAAGTTGGCTCCATAGATAAAGGTACTTGCTACCATGGCTCACAGCCTAAGTTTAGCCTGGGATCCACAAGTTGGAAGGAGAAAATTCACCTCCCACAAGTTATCCTCTGACACCAACACACACCATTGTACATGTGCACAGACACACCCACCCACCCACACACACATTTGAAACTTTTTTAAGTTACCTTAAATAGAATACTAACTCTACAAAACAACAATAACAACAAACAAAGCAATACACTGCAAGCTTGGTGACTTTAGTCACCTCTCTAGAGACCTTTGTTCTAGTCTGAATTTGTTCGGATGCTCTAAAGATTTTCTTTTTCTGGATGAACTTTCAAATCCACTGGCCAATTATTTGCAGAAAAACCTCTCTGGCGTTTTGAATAGGATTTCACTGAACCCGAGAACCAGTACAGGGAAAATCTGCCTGCTCGACACCACTGTATATCTCTACTGTTGTTTAACTGCCTCATCAGCTCAGACAATGCTACCTATTGTTCTATGACACAGACCATCTGCATATCTTTTCACAGACTCCCTCCTAGTATGCTGTATCCTTCAATGCGCTAGTGAGAGGGACTAGTTTTTAGCAATATAAGTAGGGATTATCATAGCTAAGATAGGGAAATACGGATAAACCCTTATGTCCTGAACTTTGGTTAAGCTTATTAATTCTCATAGGTTCTGATGCAAATCCATTGGATATTCCATGTTTCACTTCAAAACCTTTTCACTTCTGGCTTCACAGTTTGGTACTAGTTGGTATTTTTTGTTTGTTTGTTTTCTCTCACTGGCTAAAATACCCAATAAAAAGCTGAAGAAAACCCGTGAAAGCCAACCTCCTCTTTGTAGCCAACTAGCATTTCCGAATTATTGACCCGTTAGCTGCGGGATTATACTAATTATACAGGATTATACAAATATGTGTGCTTTTTTATAATTTCCTACATTAATAGAATATATTTTGGTCATTTTCATTCTCTATTTCCCTCTCTCATCCCCTTCCTTCCCACTCTGGCTAAATTTCTTCTTGCTAAGCCAGTCTCCCAAGTTTATCGTCTAGTTTTGGGTGCGCATGTGACTGAATCATTCCATTGGGGTTGTTTGCAATAGTGTGGGGGAGGCTTCTTTACTGACCCATGATCAACTTACACCAATAAAGACAAAGAATTCCTGTGCCTCCATCTCAGGTAGGGAGTGGTGAGGCCTTATGATCCCTCCTACCACCCACCCATGCTACAATGGAAAACTGAGAGGTCCTACTGGGGGCGAGTAATCAAAGATGCTGTTAGTTCCTGAGTGCAATGACCACATCATGTTCAAACAACTAGTTGCAGCTCCTTAATGTCACCCTTTCTCAGGTTGAAAAAGCACCTTCTATTCCTACTTGGTGAGATTTTTTAATCAGGAAAGGAAACTGGAGAAGTTGGATTTTGTCAAACACTTTTCTCCACTTTTCTACTGGGATAGGGATTTTTTTTAAGCTTCTTAATAAGGTCAATAACATTTGTTTTCTAATAATAAAGCAGTTGTGCATTCCTGGCATATCCAAATGTACTGTTGGTGTTAGGGACCTTTCATTTGTCACAAACACATGACCAAGGCAGCTTGTAGAAGGAAGAGTTCCTTTGGGCTTATGGTTTGAGAGGGTAAAAAGTTCACCATCATCATGGCAGGGAAGGAAGGCAGCTGGAGCAGAAAGCTGGGCTTTCACATCTTAACCACAAGTATAAAGCAGAGAAATGAAATTGGGACTAAGACCTTAGGCTAGGCCTTAGGCTCTCAAAGTCCCCTGCAGGTGGAGTTTTTTGTCAGGACTCCTGGCTCCCAAATAACCATATAGAGACGTATTATTAATTATAAGTGCTTGGCCGATAGCTCGGACTTGTTTCTAACTAGCTCTTATAGCTTGAATTAACCATTTCTAGTCATCTGGGTGCTGTGCCAGCACCATGTACCTCATCTAAGAAGTTTCCATGTTGCTTCTTTCAAATCTGACTGGGGACTCATGAGACTCCACCCTTCTCCCCAACACTCTCTCTGCCCCAAGAACTCTGCCTAGCTACTGATCAGTTAGCTTTTTTATTAAGCCAACCAGAGTGGCATATATACACACAGTGTAAAGGAATATTCCACAGCCATCCCCACTCCACCCTCTGTGCCCTATCATACTTCCTCCAGAAATGCTACACCTTTAAGCCTCCCCAAACAGCGCCACCTTCAGGGGATCAAGTGTTCAAAATGTATGCCTCTGGGAGATAATTTTCATTTAAACTATGACATGGTTTAATTGGCTAAAATATCTTAAGACCTCTTATACTCATGTTTAGGAGGGATGTTAGTCTGTTGTCTCTTTCCTTATATCTTTGTCTTATTTTGGTAAGAATCACATCATTGTCTTAAAAAATGTGTTTCAGACAATTGTTTCGCTCTCAATTTTCTTTCATACATCTTAATAAAATTACTATGAATGTCTCATAATATTTTGATATAATTTCCACCAAGGAAATTATCTGGCACTAAGGAAAAGCTCTTAGAAAAAATTAGGCTGTAAGTAAACTTCTTCAGTAAGTACAGGGAAATTCAAGTTGTCCCTTCCTTCTCTAGTGACTTGGTAACTCATGAGGTCCTTAACAATTTGTTCCTTTCAACTAACTTGACTTTATTTGGGCCATGTTTTCTACATTTCTCCTTTTTATTCTTTTAGTACATGTGAAACATATTCATGTTGTAAAGACAGAGAGGGATTTCTTGGGTGGGACAGGTACCTGGAACATCTTGAACACTAACCATTTGCTGCATCTGTCTTTTAATGCCATCATAACTCTCTAGAATTATAACTTTGTGACCATTCAAATGTCTGATATACATGTCGAATTATATTCAATGAATTTTCTAATATTTCCTATCTGCTTTTAAATTTTTGCTTCTTTTTTATTGGTTTATTTAATTCCTAAGGCTGCATCTGCATAAAATTTTAAAACCAATTTGACAAAAATTTATTTTTCTGCACACACCACACAGAGAAAATCTTGGACAAAATTCTAAAAACTCTAATAAAATGTTGTATTTAAATGTCCTTCTCCATCTATACATACATCCCCTACATTCTTTGATCTTAACAGAGTCCCTTTCAAAGGCTCTAATGTAATAGAAGAGTCTAGGACCCAACTTGGGTCAAAATTAATTTGAAAAAGCAAAATATGTATTTTTTGAATGAATTGTTCAATATTCACAATGAATACTTCTTTAAGACAATTTTCAAAGGTCTGAAATTTGTATTTCTCATAATAAATATGCTTCCTCTTATGCTCAGTTATGAGTAACCGTACGTCTTCAGCAAGCTCGAGTATGACACATGCCCTCGGTGTCTATGAGAGAATTCTTGTTTTGAATCAAACAGGTAAAACATAAAAGTTAGAAAACAGGATGAGTTTTGAAACAAGTCATTTTAAGTATGCAGAATTCACAATTATTTTTTAGTTTACACCCAAAATTCAATTCTCAGTTTCTTGGAGATGATTTGTGTTAGCTTGTAGGAGGCATCTTCACATGACCAGGAATTTTAGACACAATCGGCATTGACTGTTCGATCACACGAATTTTATTTATACTTAAAGCAAATACAAGTGTTCGAAGATGGTTAGTTTCTAGCTCCT